CCCCTCCCTCATGAGCCCTTGATAGTTTATAAATTGGTATTTTGTCATATCTTGCCCTGTCCGACATCTCCCTTCACCCAGAACCTTTGATAATTTATAAATTATTATTTTTTCATGTCTTACACTAACGGATCTCGCCTTTCATCCACTGAAAAAAAAGCTGATTTTTATGAACAAGTCATTAGTCTTGCAAAATTCTATCATGCAAACTCTAGCTTCATTTCTATTACCAAGACCATATTTTCCAATTACTATTCCTACCTCTTTGTGTTCAATTTTTGCATTCTAATCGCCAACAATTAGCAATGCTTGTTGATTGTATGTTTGTTAAATTTCAGACTAAAGATGGTAACATTCTTCAATTTCTGCATCACTCGCTTTAGTGGGAGCCCTGGTGGTATAGCCGTGGTATAGCCCTTGGGTGTTGGGCTGCAATCTGCATGGTCGGCAGTTCAAAACTACCAGCATTTCCATGAGAAAATGATTGGGCTTTCGACTCCCATAAACAGTTACGGTCTCAGAAACCCACAGGGCTCACTGTGAGTCAGCTTTGACTGAATGGCTGTGAGTTTGGTTTTGGGTTTAAGCTTTAGTGGCTGATGCATACATTTGAGTAACAGTTATATTAAATGGATTTCCTTATATGTAGAAAGATATTAACCTATCACAGACAGCACTGGACTGCAGGACAGATCTTGAGATGTCCTTTCTGACAGTGAGCATGACAACCTTCCTCTTAAATTTGCTACCCCAGCATAATTAACCATATGATTTTCTGATTTGAAATGACCAACACCAGTCCATTTTGGATCACTGCTGGCTAGAATATCAATCTTTATGAATTCTAGTTAATTTTTGACAACTTAAAACTTCTCTAGATCCATACTTTGTATGTTCCAAGTTCTGATTATTAACTGATGTGGGCAGTTGTCTCTTCTCTTTTTGAGGTATGCCCCAGCAGCAAAATGAAGGTCCCAAAGGCTTTTACCCTTGCAGGCTTTACACCATCTAAGCCATTTTGGTTGACCTTACTTGAGAAGGAAGCTCTTCCTCAGCCATATTTCTAACACGAAGGGCTCATCTTCTGGCACTCTTTCTGACGGTGTCCTGCTTCTATCCATCAGGCCTTTACTATCTGACAATGTTTCAACTGCCCACAAGGTTTCAGTGGATACTTTCTCAGAAGTGGGCAGCCTGTTCTTCACAGTCTGTTCTTAGTCTGGAAGCTCTGTTGAAACCAGCTCACTTTGGGTGACCCTGCTGGTATTTGAAATACCAGTGACATAGCTTCCAGCACCATAGCAACACACAAGCCACCACGGTATGACAAATTGACAGACAAGTTCCACCTGGTAGCAGGTTTATTTATTATACTGGACCCCTTTCATCAGGGAGAGAATAATTTGTCATAGTTCCATACATATTCCTATTAGATAAGGATTTGCTTTCTGTGTCCATGATTACTTTGCATGAATCACCAACTGTAAACTCACTAAATTCCTTTTTTCCCCTCATGATGTTATAGCAAGAGAAGTAAAACAATGGCTCATACACATGACAGTGATGCTTAAGATGATGTGTCCACTTGGTTCAGCCATGATTCTCAGTGCTTTGACAGATACTAGGTAATTATCCTCTTATTTTGTGAGTAACCACTCAATCAAAAAGGGACTTTTCTTGGAGGTGTGGCCTATACCCAATATTTCTGGGTAACTTTGCAAAGTCTTCCAATCTCTCAATTCGGCAGCTGCTCCTGGAGTTGCCCTGCCATTCTCTGTCCTCTGATTCTTGGGACCTGAGCCAGCAGCAGCCTGCTGCCTCACTGGCAGATTTTGGGTCTGTCAGCCCTGCTATCATGTGAGCCAGAAGCCTCCACTCTGCTACTGACGCTGTATCTGGGACTTGCCAGCCCCCACAATTGAGTGAAGCACTTCCAGGAAACAAAGCTCTCTCTATAGATACATTTCACTGGTTTTGTTACCCTAGAGAACTTAGGCTAACACAAGGATAATATACATTTGTCTCATTATCCCCAAAACCTAACCTGGTAAAACTGTGGAATGACCTACTGAAGACTCAGTAGACCAGTTAACAACATCTTAGAGGTCCAAGGTATGGTCCTAGAAGATGATGTATAAGATTTAACCAGCGACTAACATATGCTACTATGTCTCTCAGAGTCAGAAAGGATGAAAAGGAACCAAGAGGTAGAAGTGGGAGTAGTTTCCTCACTCCGAGACCCCATTGGCCAAATGTATGTTATTGTATTATTGGTGGTGAACTTTACAATTAAGTTTTTAACTTAGAGTATATCTATTTGGATTTAGACTAAAACAGTAGGAGTTAACATCACTCAAAAGGGGTCATAAGGGGGCAGGGAACAAACAATGTATGTGGGAGGGGGAGGGAGCACGCTCTAGAACTGGTGATTACGCAACTCATTTTAAAAGTGATTTAAGCACGGGGGTTGGGGGTGGGGAGAAGAAAATGTTCTAAAATTGATTGTGGTAATGATTGGACAACTCTTCTTGATATGATTGAACTATTGAATTGTGTGATATGTGATTAAGTGCCAATAAAACTGTTAAAAAATTTATAATCTCAGAAATCCACAGGGGCAGTTCTACCCTGTTATATAGAGTCACCATGAATCAGAATTGACTTGTTGGCAGTGAGTATTTTTGATTATTAATAATCTGATCACTGATTATTTTAATGATTTATTGACTTATTGTCTGTCTCTTCTTGCTAGAAGAAAAATTTCTTAAGGGCAAAGATTTTATCTGGTTTCTTTACCACTAAACCCATATCATATAGAACAGTAACATCTAATAGGCATTCCATAACTATTTATTAAATTAGTGAAGGTGTGCTCAACACCAAAGGACTGCGCTTACAAAGGAAATAATAGAGGTGGATTTTGCGTGTAGCACCCATTGAGGGGTCTCTTCCTGGGTTCAACCATCAGGGCACTAGTACAGCCAAAAAGATGTAGGACAGGCACTTGCCAGCAGTCAGCATCAGGCCTGCCTCCTTAGCAGGTGTCCTAGCAGCAGAAGTCTCTGTGAACAGTCCAGGCAGACCTCGAAGCTCTCCTCTCTCCAAGTGCTAGCTCAAGCCCCTGAATAGGAGACATACATTTGGTGGAGTGGGACAGAGTTTAAAACCTCCATACCCACCTTGATGCTGACACATAAGAACCCTATACAGACAGGGTTTCCAAGACTGTCCGTCTTTACAGGAATAGACAACCTATTATTCCACCTGATGAGCGGCCGGTGGGTTAGGCCACCCGGACTCCACAGGAGCCAGGGTCTCTTATAATACTCTATGGGCCTGGTTCCCAGAGTCCTTGCGAAAGATGACAGCTGCTAGTACCACTGTTCTCCGGGGAGCCAGAAAGATGGTGTGCTCCACAAGTACACCCAACTTTTTCATTGTTTCTTCCAGTTTGGCCCCAATTTACCAATAAAGCTCATTTTTATCTTTAAAACAAAAAGGTTATAGACACTGAAGTAACTTTGAATGCTCCCCTTTTCAGAGATTAACTGTATCTTCAGTTACATAAGTCACACTAGATCATATTATCTGGAAGCATAACACTCTTCTTCTTTGAAGGCTAAAGAGGTATAAAACCTTGAGCTTGGGATTTGGATGTGTATGGAGCATCCAAAGTGGACTATGGTGGTACTCAACATGATCCCAACTTTTTAAAGTTCTCTCCTATGCTGAAGATCAGAAAAGTAAATTCCCAGTCTCCCTTGGCAGTCAGGCTCCAATTTCGTTTCTGAAAATTAGAGACACTTGCACAGAATTTGGAAAGCATAGTAGTGCCCACTCTAGTTGTTAAGTCAGGTTCCTCTTGTGCTGATTCCATGTCTATCAGAATAGAACCTACCCACCCACCCACCTACCACCAACAGCTTTCCTTTAAGGCACCTCTGGGTGGACTCAAACTTCCAACCTTTCAGCTATCAGAGAAACATGCTAACCCCTTTGACACTATCCAGGGATTCAAGTATTAGCAAAGGAGAAGGGAAGGACATTGTTCTATCACTGATGGGTAGTTAACAAGTAGACACCAGAAGAAACATTTGTAGGAGCTCTGATAAGTTCCTATAAATCTCAGACTGGTTACTGGAGGTAATTTCCCTATCATTTCTGAATTTGTTAAAAATCAGCAGTCATTACTTCTGGTTTTCTACTCATTCCCATTCCTCCCTTCTAACAGTTTTGTAAGTATTCTATTCCTTATTAAATCTTTTATTGTTTGCCATCTCTAGAGTGGATCTGGTTTTACTGCTTGGACCCTGAGATTAATATGTAAAATGCTGACCCAAACCAGACTCACTGCCATTCAGTCCATGCTGACTGCCCATGTGAGCTTCTGAGACTGTCACTGTTCATGGAAGTAGAAAGCCCTAGCTTTCTCCTGAGTGGTAGCTGGTAGCTTTGAACTGTCAATCTTGCGGTTAGCCCAACTCGTTACCTCTATGCCACCAGGGCTCCTAGCCACTGTTAGCTAGTATTCAGGCCTATAGAAATAGGAAAAGTGAGAAGCATCTCTTCTTACCTCATCAGATTTTCTTTTTTCATTTTCCAGAAGGGTCTCTTGTTGTTGAATTTTTAATTGTTGCTGCGAACTGGTCACTTCCAAGCGACTATCTTTATCCTGTAAGGCTATCACTTGTCTTTGGAGCTCATTTATATTCTCCTCTAGGAGTTTCCTGAAGCCAATTAATGAACATTAAGTTAGGAAACAAACTACAAAGTTTGACAAAGGGAAGTCTTAGACTGAAGGTTTTTTTCACTATCACAAGGAATTTCCCACCTGCCGACCCCATGGTGTGTGCGTATGGAGGGGGGACAGGGTGAGATGTGTGTCTGTAAGGTGAAGAGACCAATGTGGTGGACCTCCTCTGAGACACATGCTTTCTTAAGTCTTTCTCTCTCTCCTCAAAACAACCTTGTAAGTAGGGAATCATTTTTCTTATTCCATAGAAGAGGCAGCTGTGGCACCGACAGGGTTAATCAACTGGTTGGAGTTGGAACAGATAGGACTCAAATCCCAAAGTGTGGGGGGAGGTCAGATGCACAGGCTTTCCCTCCCCTGAAGTCAATCAGTTACCAGACTGCTGTCTCATCCCACCACAGGGGTGGGCCTGCTCCCTGCCTCTGGGGACAATGGACAGGTTCCTGTAGGCGGAGTTTGCACCCTACTGATAATGGTTTCTATGGAGAACCAGAGACCACCCTCTCATTACTGGGTACCCTATAGTGTAACCCCTCCCTGTGATGTAGTCTCTACCTGTAATTAGTGGGCTGGCATGCCCCCAAAAGGTATATAGGCATGGGTCAGCAATATAGAGCTCTCGACCACTTGGACTCTGACCTCCCTGACTCTCTTCCCCCTCTCCCTTGTTCCCTTTCCCTCCTTCCCTTCCCCCTCTCTCCACGTGGACCACTAAGCTGGGCTGAGGTGAGCAATGCTGCCATGTAACGTGTCTGACTGTTATTGTAATATCTCTCATACTCTCGATGACTTTAATATAATACTTATATATCTCAACCGTATAATTGTGCATTACTGAACCCTGAAGTAGTATTACTGAATCTGAGTAGTAGTAATAGTAGTATCAGCGGGTGGGGGCTGGCCCTCCACCCACCAAACGCCAATTTTTTATTTAATACTACACCAAAGCCCTTATTATTTTATACTTTTCGAATTACTTTACAACTGGAGTCCTTTAATTTGGATTCACTAGAGTTATGAGTTGTAAAACACAGTTGATACTAATGTAAACATGCTACCACAGCTGCGAGGCTGCATTTGATGAGGAAATGCTTCCTTTCCCAAAGGACCATAGCCACCTCGCCCGTCAGATGGGATGTCATCAGACAGACAGTTCAAGAGAGCTGTTTTGGAGGAGTTCAGGCCAACGCATGTGGGAGACAAGTAGCCCAGAAGAAGATGGCAATGACGGAGCCTGGGAGGCAAGAGCTCACATTGCTGCGAAGGCACTGCTAAGGTACTGAATAGAAGAGTTTGCTTCCGTTAAAAGCAAGATTCATATTAAGTCAATAACAGAAATAGATCGGTGGTTATTTAATAAAATTTGTGCAAATCCTGGTAGCATTTTGACGCGGGAGTCAGAATGTTCCAGAGCTGAGAGGCCCTGCAAAGGTTCTGATGCTCCCTGTTAACAACACTGCCAGGAAGAAGGACTCGGGAGAGTGTTTGCAAAGACTCTGGATCTTCTGGAAACCGACTGCATATAGATCTGAAAAAAAGCACAACTCCCAAGACAAATAGCACTGTTTCCCTTAATGACACTTTGTTTGCCTTGCGCTCCTGCTGGTATTTGAACAGGCTTCAGAGGAGCTTGCAGACTAAGAAGAGACGGTGAAGAAGGAATAGGCTGTGCACTGCAGAGGAATCAGCCACGACCACCTTATGGACAACATGGAAACATTGTCAGATACTGAAAACATCACGAATAGAAGCAGAAGGTGGTCAGTGGCAGTGACAGAAGATGAGCCTTGCAGGTCAGAAGGCATTCAAAAGATGACAGAATAAAACCCAATTTTTCTTAAAATAAATGCGACCAGTCTTAGCTCCATATAAATAAGAACCATAAGTTACTAAAGTTTAAAAATAAATAAATAAGGCTTAGGGAATCCTACAGGAACCACGAATAAGAATCCTAGTAATCATCAAAATACAGGGCAGCAGTCACAGCCACTATTAGTAGCTGGCTGATGGTGATTAAGCTTCTCTGAAGTACTTGGGACTGCTTGGAAGAAAACCAGCTGACAATTAATTAAAAACTGCAAATTTTATTCTAGTCTGAATCTAGTGCCAATTGTAAGAGAGAGCGAGAAAAGCAAATCCTAGAATATAATTTTTCACAGGAAGGCCTGTCACTCAAGAACATTTTACTGGTGTATCAGTCCTGTGTCAGCACAGGGGAAAGCACTCTGCCCTCAAGGCTCCAACTCACATACAAGAGACAAAGGAGACAAGGGGCAACTACCACACTGCATCAGAAGTGCACAGCATTGTCCACAACAGTAAGCACACACGGGAGAAACTGTGACTGAGTGTGTCTCGGTGGGGACAGAGGACAATGCCACACTTTCAGTTCACACTGCTGGGGAAGTAAACCCCGGGCCACTCAGGGGGATGAAGATGGCCGCTGCCAGTACCTCCTCTGCTGTTCCTCCTGACATTGCTGCTTGGCCTTTGCTTCATTGTCCAGCGCTTCTTTGATTTCTCCCTCTCGTTGTTTCTTCTCCAAAATATATGTGTCTGTGACATCAACCTTCTGAACATTTTCTGATTTCTGCTTCAGATTCAAAATCTTGAGTAAAGATATTTTGTGAGAAAAACAGTAAGAGTATTACTTTTTCCTGAATTAAGAGAACTACCCCGTGCACAACAAAAGTGACAGGACTAGCATAGAAATTGGATCTCATTTTGAAGAGCAAGAAGATACCACTGAAATCACAAGATTCAAAGAAATATTCATGTTTTTTATTAATAGAAACTTGTTGAAACTTTTCTCTAAAAAAAAAAAAAAAGAAATTGGATTTCAGTAAAGCCCTTGACTAGATTAAATTTAATGGAAATGATTTCATTTTTGCAATACATACCGTATATACTCAAGTATCAGCCAACCTGAATATAAGCCGAGGCACCTAATTTTACCACAAAATACTGGGAAAATTATTGACTTGAGTATAAGCCTAGGGTGGGAAATGAAGCAGCTGCTGGTAAAGCCTAAGGTGGGAAATGCAGCAGCTACTGGTAAATTTCAAAATAAAAATAGATACCAATAAAATTACATTAATTGAGGCATCAGTAGGTTAAATGTTTTTGAATATTTCAAAGAAAAACAGTAAACTAGCTCTGTAAGTGGAAAAGAGGGTCAACAAAAACAACATGGTATCAACAATAACTACACTCACTGTGTTACTGCATGCACTGCATTACTACATACACTGCCTTACTGGGTGTACACAATGCAGCTTGTATAGTTTGAGGCTTAACGCAGACTGATGATATTTCTGAATGTGATGACATGACTGTTTGCATAGAGCAGCGTGTATTAGGGTCATAATATACACGCTGCATTGTGTATGCACTGTGTTACCATGTGCTGTGTTACTGCATGTGCTGCGTTACTGCATGCGTAATGTTACTACACATGTATGGGAAGTGCTAATGCAACACATGAAGTCACACAGTGCGTACACAATACAGCATGTACATTATGTGCCCTAACACAGGCTGCTCTCTGCAAGCATAGTTAACACTGGGTCCAGATAGGGGTTAATAAGAAAATAAAATATAGCAGATTAAGTACTGTAAGTAAGCATACTGTATATCCAAGACCAGAGCTATACTGGCACTTGTATTCAGCAATGCTTGGGTGAAGTGAGGGGGCGTGACCAAGCATGGGTAAGACTGTAAAGGCTATGTCATTGGTCACAGCCCTGGAGAAGAGCGGCTGCATCTGACATTCATTTGACAAGGATGTGGTTTGCCCCAGGTACCAGCACACAGAAGCGGGCAGGTTCTTGCCAAGTACAGCTCGGACAACACCGAGGCTGCGAGTGTGCAGGAGAAAAGAAGAGCGGTGATACCAGCAGTCATCGGACCACCCACAGAGGCTGCAGGCGCCTGTAGATGAGCGGGAGAGACACTGCACCGGAGCACAGGTAAGTGGGACCCTCACTCAAGTAGTATAAGCCGAGGGGAGCTTTTTCAGCATAAAAATGTGATGAAATTTTTGGCTTATACACGCGTAAAAATGGTAATACATCAATAGAGTTCAAAATGTGTGTGCAAAAGTAGCCTTAGGAGGAAGGACTTCTTCCCCTCCCTGCACTTTCATCTTCTACTTCTAAAACTCTAAAAAACTCACTGCCATTGAGCTAATTCTGACTCATAGTAACCCTTGGGAGAGGATACACTGGCCCCTGTGCATTTCCCGTAATGGAAATAGAAAGTGTTATTTTTCTCCCTGGTGGTTTTGAACTACTGACCTTGAGTTTAGTAGCCTAACTCATAACCCACTACATGACCAGGGCTCTTCTAGTTATCTCCCACCAAACAGGCAACCACTACTATTGGTTCTTTTTATGCCTTCTAGAGATACACATCTATCAGTAAGTTAAAATGGGCTACAACAAATCGTGAGGATGGCGCACTCCTGGGTAGGGTTTTGTTGTGTTGTACAGAGTCCCTACGAGTCAGAACTGACTCGATGGCACCTAACAACAGAACAAGTTAAAGTGCTTAGCTCAAGCACACCAACTGCTTCTTAATCCTTGGAAGGAAGACGTGAGAGGTTGTTAGTTTATTGTGCCAACCTGGCCGATAAATACATGTGGGATTAATTAAAGGACAGAGAGATAAATGGCTCGGGGTGCCTCGTCTTTTTTGTCTCTTGCTCTTTGATCATAGGATCAGTGTGCGGCTGCCTTGCTTGTTCTTTGCCTCAATTTGCAAGCTGCACTACCTGTGGGACATCTAACCCGTGGACTGTGTCACTGTAATTTGAGGTTCCTTCAAGACCTGCTTCACCACACCATTGAAATTTACATCTCTTGAGCTGGGGGGCAGGGGGGGAACTGTCGGACCCTGTCATCTGGCTGACTGTTGGTGACCTGCCTTTCTGTTTGCTGCCTGTGCCCAGATAGCCTCAATTGCTCTACAGAGGACTACCCGGTGGCCCTCAAGACTTGAAGGACTGCCAGTGTCTCACAACTGTCTCATGGGACTGAGTTGCACTGAGTCATTTGTACTGCTTTATAACTTAATTAACTGTTTATTTCGTATGTTATACATCTATCTATCTGTATAAATATATATAAAATTATTAGCATTCTGGTTTTGTTTCTCTAGAGAACCCTGTCTAACACAATGTGAGTTTGCTTCTGTAAGATCTCAGCCTAGGAAACCCTATGGGGCAGTTCTATACTATCCTACAGGGTTGCTATGAATTGGCATCAACTCAATGACAATGAGTTTTATTTTGATGTAAGCAAATATGACTGTATCGTTCTTCCCCATATATATATTTAAAAACACCAGAAATAGTCCAAGCTTGATCCGGTGCCCTGTTCCGTTCCTCTTGTTACCCTGGTCACTCATCAAAGCCCAACGGTCAAAATGGTGAAGCAGATTGATAGCAAGAAAGATTTTCAGGCAGCCCTGAAGAGTGCTGGAGAGAAGCTTGTAGTGGCTGACTTCTCAGCCACATGGTGTGGGCCTTGCAAAATGATCAAGCCTTTCTATCATTCCCTCTGTGAAAAGTATGGCAATGTGGTCTTCCGGGAAGTTGATGCGGATCACTGCCAGGATGTTGCTTCAGAGTGTGAAGTGAAATGCATGCCAAGATTTCACTTTTATAAAAAGGGACAAAAGGCGGGTGAATTTTCTTGTGCTAATAAGGAAACACTTGAAGCTACCATTAACAACTTAAGTTAATTATGCTTCCTGAAAATGTAACCAGCCATCAGCTGTGTAAACCTTTTTGTATCTAAAAAGGAAGAAAAATCAAGTATGAAGACTATATACCCAGCTACCATCTGAGTATAAATGACAATAAAATATTAATTCTACCCTTTTAAAAAAAGCACACCAGAAATATTAGTATCATATCTACACTTAGGTGCCTTACTTTTATGTGCAAATAATGCATCATGGTGATTTTTCCATATTACATGTACAGTTGTCATTTTTTACAATGGCATACTATACCACTGTAAGAATATATCATTATTTATATAACTATCCTCCTATTGATGGACATTTTCATGGATTCCTATCTTTTCTTATTACAAAAAAAGTGATACAAATTAATCCCCCTAAAGAAACTGTCTAACAATTAAAAGATTCAATCACTGCTTGGCTAAAGCTTTAAATGTTCAGCACAGCTTTGTGATGGAGAGAAATTTCTTAATATCGTCCTTCTATCCAAGTCTCAGTAAATCCCACCAAATGATTGGGTGGGCCTGTGCAAAAAGGGTGTGGATAACACTGAGAGGATTGTTCCATTTTTGTTACCAACCCTGCCCTGGCTATAAGGATGAGCCATCTTTGAAGTAGCAACAGAGAGAGAAACCCCATGGACCTTGGGAGAGTAAGTTAAAAGATTAAAAGATATATCATCTGGGGTCTGAAAAGCTTGTAGTTAAACAACCGGCCATCTACCAGGGATGCAACAAAACCCACATGGAAGAAGCACATCAGCCTGTGTGATCATGAGGTGTTGGCAGGCATAGGTATCAGAAGTTCAAAAACAAGCAACCAAATTGATGAGAAGGAGTGTGGGTGTAGTGGAGACCCAAGACCCACCTGTAAGATAATTGGACAGTCCCTCTCAGAAGGGTCACATGGAAGGGATGATAAATCCAGGGTGAACCACATAACTATCTTCTAGTTCTTTAACATTTCCTCCTCTTACTAATATGGTTTTTATTTGTTTTACCTCAATTATGCTAGACTTGTGTTTGTTCATTTGTAAAATTAAGATCGTTCAATACAGGAAAGCCAAGATAGATTACTTTTCAGAAACAGTACCAGGAGTAATGATTCCCTGAGTGTATGGGAAGAGAGACGGGCAGGGTTGTCCATCCATAGCATTGATGACTGCATAACCCCACTCAAGGTGAATAACAGAATTGTATGTGAATGGACATATTGGATGGTGTAAGACATGGCAAGATAGATAGATAGATAGATAGATAGATAGATAGATAGATAGATAGATAGATAGATAAGGGTTTCTGGGGGTAGGTACAGTGAGGGAGGGAGGGGATAGAGGGTTGCTGATGTCAGGAGTTCAAGAAGAAAGAAAATGTTTTGAAATTGATTGTGGTACAATACTATACTGCTTGATGTGATTGACCTATGGAATGTTATGATATCTGTAAGAGTTCCCAATAAAATCATTTAAAAAAAAGAAGTGAGGATGGAAAGGCTTGGTCTCATGTACTTTGGACATGTTATCAGGAGAGGCCAGTCCCTGGAAAACGATATCACACTTGGTCAAGTCTAAGGACAGTAGACAAGGGGAAGACCTTCCATGAGCTAGACTGAGCCAGTGGCTTCAACATCGGGTCGCAACATAGCAGCAGCTGGGGGTAGTGCAGGTCTGGGCAGTGCTTCATTCTGCTCTGCTGTACGTGGGGCCTCTAGAAGTCTGAACTGACGTGATGGCACCTAACAACAACAACGCAGGGTGGTTCCTGAGGCCGTAAATTGTTACGGGGACAGACAGCTTTACATTTCTCCTGAGAAGGGGATGGTGGGTCTGAACTGCTGACCTTCCAGTTATTAGGCAAACACTTACTTGACAGCACCCCCAGGAATTAGGGACATGGAAACACTGCTTTCAGAAACGTACAGTCCTAGATAGAGGATATACTGAGAAACAATAGCTTTGCATTTTGATATTTTTAATAAAGGTTTCTATCATTTTGTAACAATTTTTTTATTTGCCCTTGTGTGACTAAGATGGAGACTATGTCTAACAGGACTTTGATGGTTACCTTCAAATCAACACTCCAATTCAAGGTAATCACTGTCCTAAACTCACAGCTTAATTTATCAGTTCTTTAACTTCAAATCTATGGAATCTCATCCTATGAGCTCTTTTTTGACTCAACATTAGGCTTAAGATATCATTCAAGTTGCTGCTGTCTACTTTTTGATGCTTTGTGATGCGATTTATGTTTCTGTAAGATTTGATGCAAAGGTGCGATACCATTCTGTAACTGTTGCATTCGACGACTGCCACCTGGTGTTATCTAACTGAAATGCAGAGACAATATTGCAAAATGATTTATTTCACAACACAAATCTAAAAATCTCCCATCCAATGAGACAAGAATAAAATAATATTTTTTAAAAAGAAAAATCTCACTGCCATAAAGTCAATGTCTACTCATAGTGACCCTAAAGGGCTGGGTAGAACTGTCCCTGTGAGTTTCCAAGACTTAACTGTTTCTGGGAGCAAAGTCCTATCTTTATCCTGAGGAGTGGCTAGTGGTTTTGAACCGCCAACTTCGTGCATTACAGCCCAACAAGTAACTACTACACCACCAGGGCTCCTGAGACAAGGACAAGCCCTTTGAAATGTGAAAGTGTAAAACAGAAGTGATATGGTACTAGCCAGTTCATACTAATGCTTTAATGTATTGTATTTCTAGGTTCCTAAAGTATTAAAAAACAAAACAATCAAAGAAACAAAAACTTATTAAGATTTACTAGAATTGCATGAGGAAGTTAGGTCAAAAGAGAGGGAAGCACGGGGAGAGTAAGGAACGAGCCTAGAATCCGATCTTTGCTCGTGAATCCTGGGGAAACAGGATTCCAGTGGTGATGTCCAGTATGTTCTGTTTGATATGCAGGAGCGTATACAAGCACGATTACCTTTTCCTCGGCATCAGCAACTTTAGACTTCTCCTGAGCCAGCAGCTTGTCCTGTGACCGCATGCTCTGAGCCTGTGCAAGTATTTCCAGCTCCAGTTCCTTGATTTTCTGCTGACAGTGCTTCCACTCTGCCGTGAGAGAGGAGCACATCTTTGTGCTGTCTAGTGACTTCTGCTGGGCCTGCTTTAGCTCAATTTTTAGCTAAAGATGGAGAATAAATAAGGGTGACAAAAATATGCATGAGATGAATGTCAACATGAGCCAGAAAACACAGTTTTCAGAGGAAGGAGTAGAGTTCTCAAAAGCTGGCAACTACCAATGTCACATGGCTGATTCCATCCCTGGTGCTGTCATGAATTAGTGAAGTTTGCCAAAGTTTACCCAGTCAGCAGGAAGAAATATTTAGGAAGTTTCTGAAGCGTCTATACTGGCTTTCATTCCCTTTACTCCAATGAAAGTGCTTTTGCTAAGTGCACGACTGACCTCCTCTTGTCCATATACATCGGATGGACAAGTGATCTTTCAGTAGCATCCATTTCTCCATCCTAGATAGCTCTCCTCTCTACGAGTCCACAATACCAGGCTCTCCTGGTTTTTGTTCATCTTTCTGCTCCTCCTTCTTGGTCCCTTTAGAAGAATCAGCTAATGCTATCCAATCTCTAAATAGTATCAGATGATTTCAGGCCTTTAGGGAAGCTCTTTCCAAACCTAGAATGATTCCCATCGTTTTAAATTAAGGTGACCAGATTTTAACATTGGTAAAGCGGGACAAAAGCGGGACACCATTGATAAAACTCATATCCTGGCGAAATAGCCACATAGCAGCTGAAAACCGTACACCCTAGCTTGTCGTGCATTCTTTCCAAAAAATCGGGACTTTTTAAAAACACTGCGGGACACGGGAAAAATTGTTAAAAAGCGGGACTGTCCCGCCAAAAGCAGGACGTCTGGTCACCTTATAATACAATCTTTATGTCAACAACTGCCAAAATAAAAGTCCTCGATTCTATGTTTCTGAAATGGTTCTTTTTAATGCCTTATTGCTTTCAATAAATGATACCAACACCCAGCCTTTCATTTAGGCCAGGGTCATCACTGAGCCTGCTTTTCCATCACAAGCCAATTCTAGTCATTTGGCTCTCCCTCCACAGTATATTACATACCCACCCATTTGTGCTGTTATTGCTACCGATCTGGCCTATGTCATCCTTGCTTGTCTAGTTTATTAACTACATCTATTTATTTTTTCTCTACAAAGAACACAATAGATTACAAAGCTAAAAGTTAGTTCTTTGAAAGGTCCATTATAAACAATCTCATGAAAGTGAAAACAATCATTTTATTAAAAAATCAGTAAGAGGGCATGATGGGTAATGTCATGTAAAAAATAAAATTAACTGAAAAATTTTCTGAAAGAATAAAGTACATCAGCATTTGATACAAGAAGGCATAAGAGATTCGACTTCTCTTATAATTACTTAGGGAATTGCACCTGAACTTGGAAACCTTTCCACAAAGAAACTTTAGAATCAGAATGCCTCAAGGATGAGTTCTCCTAAAACACTGGAGAGAGTTTTGATTCATTTATCACTGATAACCTCTGATGAAATGAGTTCCATTTAGTGGCTTTTTGCCAAAGGGAGAGAAAGCAATAGCTTACGAGTTTTTCCCCCTGGGCCCTGAGGAGTTGTTGCGCTGACCTCACTGCAGTTACCCTAATCCTTTGAAGAAACATTCTACTTTTGCTCAGGGAAGAAGCCAGTTCCTGTCAGAAAAGCCAGAAAATGTTAGTTCTTATGCAAATAAATAGAGCCACTTACAAGGTGATTGGTGCCTATGAGGCAAATAGGGTATATACACTGAGAATTACCTAGACTCGGGAACCTAAGAAAGTCGTAACACTGGAAACATCACACAGTGTTGAGAGATGGGACTGCAGAACAAGGAGACTGGCATGAGCTGGTACAGTGGGCTTCTGGATGTATAGGTTTGGTATACATGCCGACCCATGGAGGGAGTGAGACCCGTGCTCCCTTTCTTGCGGGAGGCTTGCTGGTGGAGTGTGGGTCTCTGGGCACTTCCCGGCAGAGCTAAAAGGGCTGTAGCACCTTTTCTAGCAAAGCAGGGGATAAGAGGAGGCCTCTCCTAAGAGAGTGTGTACACAGCCACGAGGAAGAGAGAGAGAATAGGCGCTGTCCTGCTCTGAAGAAGTCCTGGTCCAGTGTGCTTCCTATCTCACACTGTGAGAGCCTTCTCGACCTTACCTGTCTGCTTACTGATGGTGATCCTGCTCAGGTTACTGCCAAGTTCATCCTGATATCCTGTTACTTCCCTAATAAACCATGTATCTGTGAGTTCTGGGAGGCCACTACAATGAATGAAAGAACTCGGCAGGGAAGCAGAGAGGGTTGTGGGCAGGAGGGCTGGTGTCAGACTTGGTAACAGTTGGAGAGTGGAGGCATGTCTGACCTCTACTTTACTGGAGTCAGCTTTGGGCTGATCCTGATGGTGATTCCCATGCTCTCAGAAGTTAGACAAGGTCTCACACTCCCACCACCACCACCACATACAGCCCCTTCACTAAAGAATGTGTCCCGTAGAATTACCTTGGCGTTTTCTTCCTGAAGTAAGCTATTATGTTGCTTTAAGTCCAAGTTCTTTCCTCGTTCATATCGAAGCTCTTTTTCAGCTGAGTTACACAGATTCTGGACCCGGTGCAAATTCTGGCGAAGTTGGTGAAGTTCCTCTTGCTGCTGTACTTTAAAATTTTCTCTAGGCAATGAATACTAGAGCAAATGCATTTTAAAAGAGAAACATGGAAAAGTTGAAGAAAGTAAAATATGGATTCAAATTGTCAAAACCAGAACTGTCAGACTGAGATTACTTCCATGTACATTTTCGTTTGTTTTCGTTTACTCAGAACAAATCATGCTTTTATGTTTACGGCTAGTTGGAATATGTTTCTGTAATTTAATTCCTGTTATCTTTGAGTCAAAGTGTCAGGAAAACTATGTGAACAAAAGGAGTGAATCAAAAAAAAAAAAAAAGGAGTGAATCATAGACAATCACCTGTTTAAAAAGTCTTCACATCAATGACGGGGAATAGAAGAATGGACAGTTTGAGAATAAAACATGTTTTAAATGGGGATCTCCAAGACACACTGGATAAATGTGATAGTTACACAATCTGGTGTCAACTTGTGGAGGGGTGGAATCCATCCTGTGAATCAGGTGGCATCTTGATGACCTCATTTGGAGGCACTAAGGAGATCAATAGCTCACCAAAGGTGGGACACTCACTCCCTGCAAGACATTCCTGTTGACAAGCCACATGGAGCTATGCAGATGGAGCTAGAGGCCTGGAGCTGGAGGAGTCATGTGGAGACCCCTGCCAGCACGAAGATGCTTCCACCTCCACTGGATCTACAAAACTTTCCACCCACTGGCCTGTGATTTTCCTGCATTGTCATTGCATATGTTGCATGATTCTGAAGAGGAATTTACAGATTGGTATAGAACATATGGGCTAATATCAGACTTATGGACTTGAAGTGGACTGGGGTAGGATGCTTTTCTTAATGTACAATTGCTCTCTTACACACACACAAAAGGGTCTATGAATTTGTTTCTCTAGTCAACCCAGACTAACACAAAAAATAAGTAGTTATTCTGTGGGGTTTTTGTGTGTGTGTGTGTGTGTGTGTGTGTGTACGTCTATGTAATTCAGCAAGAGAACTTAAGTTTCTATTCTAAGCTTTCGCCATCACTCTCCATTTACTTCCTAACTATTCTCTAGTTACTACTCAACAATACACTCTCACATCAGGTCTTTCTACTGCAATGAAATGGCCTTAGCCAAAGTATGAGTGTGTTAGTCTGGGTACTTTAGAGAAACAAATCCACAGAAACTCATGTATAAGACAGAGTTTTATATAAAGGTTAAGTGAGCATCAATAAAACATCCCAACCCAGTGCTGCCCAAGCCCACAAGTCCAACATTAACCCATTAACCCATATGTCCAACACCAATCCACAAAGTCCTCCTCCATCTCACAAAGCAGACGCAATGACGCCGACTGCAGGAGGAAAGCTGAGTCAGTGAATGTGTAAGCATCTCAGCTCTGGCAGGGGTCTCCACACAGCTGCTCCAGCACCCAGGGCTGCATCAGGGTAGGTACATGTGGCTTCTCCTTGGGGATGTCTTGCAGGAAGTCAGCCTTGCAAGCTGAAGCTGGGAACTGCTAAGTGAGCCGCACCCTGGTCTGACCATCACAAAGCAAGAGACCCGAGAACTGGAAAGACGAGGCTCACTGAACCATTTATCCCTCTGCCCTTCAATTAATCCAACATGTGTTTATCGGCCAGGTTGGCACAAGAAACTAACTAACTCAATGAGCATTTTAGATTTTCTACAAAAAGGCACACACTGTGTGGGGTAGATAAAGAAGTCAACTCTTTCCAGTGAAATAGAGAAGAGTCTTAGAATTTCCATAGTCCTGATCAAGTGTGCTTCTTATCCATGACTCTGTAACTCTCTGTGACTATTCCTTTATTATTCTAGTTCTATTTAACTTTTGTTCCTGAAGCAACAGAGAACTCCCCAAGTCCTAATATCGCTTCAATTCCTATCCTGGCTTAATCAGAAAGGCAATGTCAACCCAATTTTCTTGGATCAAAGATCCCTATAGAAAATTATTTAATGGAATTATACTATAATGATTAAGAGCTTTAGCTTTGGAAGTAGGGGCTGCAAGTCTGATTCTCCACTTGCTCATTGGATGATCTTGGAAAAGTGACTTTGTTGCTTTCCATTTCCATTTCCTCATTTCAACATAGGGACAATAATATCTGCTGGGTAGAGTGAAAAGGGCCTAAAATAACACATACAGTCACTTAGCACAGCTACAGGCCGCTCAATTACATTACCTACTAATGGTTCTGCCACTTACTTCCCCTGAGCTACTTTCCTCTTTTAGCTGAAGAGAGGAGTTTTCCCGAAGCCTAGAACACCTTGATCCACCACTCCCGATTATTTAACCCCATGCAGCAGTGTTTAACAATTAATTCTTAATCAGCGTCCTATACAGCTAGTTACCATATCAAAGCAGAGCTATACAGAAACAGCATCGTGCTTGTGCCCGTGGGAAAAAGGTTAAGCCAGAACAGTAGTTTGTCCTGCCTACATTGTAGGTCAAGTCACTTTGCCAAAAAAGAATTGTAAATTATTGCTCACAGAAACTATCAGCCAGCCAGTCTAGGGGTCAAGGTAAAATCCTTTGCCCCCAAGCAGGTAAATCACTCCCCTGGTAGAATGTTTGATAAGGAACCAGGAAAGAGCACGAAGTTAACTACTCAGAGGTTCCTTTTGGATCCATCAGCAAGTTGATTAAGCAAATTACTTTTTCTGAGTCTCACTTTACTCATTTGCAAATTAAAAGCATAAAACCAGATGATGCCTAAGGCCTCTTCCGTGTTAGGAATTATAATAGCAATTGTTAAACATGCATTAAATTCATATACTGGTCCCAATGGCAAGACTAATACTTTTGGGGAAATAGAGTTCCAGGCTACGACTGGCTTTCTTGGTGAATGGGGATATAACAATCTGGCGGTACTAACGTGACGCATCAAACTAAGTCCACGTGTTCTGGTATCCTACTCACTAAACATCCTTCTGATTCCAGTTTGTGCTTCTTAGTTCTCTAGAGGAGAGAGACAGAGAGAGAGAAAGGCACTATTCATATAAACATTTTAATGTAACATTTGTAACTAATTATTACAAAAGAATAACTAGTTGACATTCTGATTTTACCCAGTTTGGTTAACGGGAGCTTATCCTTGAGACACAGATGTATTCTGGGTGGGCTAATACAGCAAGCGTGGAGCCTGCAAATCTGAGGGCCAGATCGTGAATAAATTCACCAAGATCACCTGGGCCACCCTGGTAGGGCTTGGGGAATTAACCTTCCACAGTACCAGGAAGTCAGCTTGATGGGAAGCACGTGTCTGCTTTCTTGCACTTCTCAGTAAAAAGAAGCACGTTACGTAGCAGTAGAAAGGTCACACTCTGGAGGAGAAAGACCGGGGTCCCATCAATGTGTCATTCCGGGCAAACTGACCTTTCTAAAGCCTGCTTCCTCCCTATAAAGTGGCAGCAAAATAGCCCTGCCTCGTTGGACTATTTAATATATAAAACTCACTGCTATCGAGTCTATGCTGATTCATAGCGACCCTACAGGACAAGGGTTTGAACTACCCCTGTGAGTTTCCCAGACCTTAACTCTTTATGGGAATAGAAAGCCTCATCTTTCTCCTGAGGAGTGGCTTGTGGATTTGAACAGCTGACCTTGAAGATCGCAATCCAAACATGTAACCACTATGCCACAAGGTCTCCCTGATTAATAGATAAAGCACATTTACAATAGAGGGCCTAAAGCACAGGAACTACTCAGCAGCAGTAGGAAGTGAGGTTTTAGTCTTATAAAATACATATAATATTGGTTGCAACTTGTTTCAAGAATACAGGGAAAGTAATATGTAGAATTCAGCTCTCCAAAAACTTCACCTTGAATACGGTTTAATAGCAGAAATTATGCTCCCAAAGGTCACCAGAAGCCACAAATGCATAGAGCAATACAAAAGTCATTCACAAAAGAAGCTTTTGCAGTTCTTTGTCTAAGTATTTACCATGCATAAGCCTTCTTAAAAGTTTGCTGTTTAAATATGCCCGTGTGGCAATTAAGAAGATGCAGTACACATGGATAGCAGTAGGTACTAGAAACTATAATTTGATTATAGGAGAAAAGACCACAACACAACACAACACATACAAGCAGTAAAAAGTAGAGTATTCTATAGCCACTAGTGGGTCAAGAGCCTTGCACACAGAAAGAGGTTCTTAAATTATCACTGTATCTATCGCTCATTGCAGAAGAAATTCTGTACTTCCATGTACATCACAACATTTTGGAAAATGTAAAGTTCAAAATACAAGTGTGTTTTTTGGTTTTGCTTTTTTCATGAAGCCTACATTTGTCTTGTTGATTGCTGTTTTTGCCTGAACACAGGGCTTGGCACACCACAGGTATTCCATTAATATTGGTTAAGAAATTAGTGACAACAATGTAAGCTTCCTTCACTAATTCATGAAAACACAGAAATGTGCCAAAATTCAGTGAAAAGTTAGGAGGCTGTATGACACATGGGACTCTTTGTCCTTCAAAAAAATAACTATTATACTCCATCTCCCTTGGTTTTTTCTTTATTTAATAGCTTTTCCATCTCTTTCCTGGATGTTGCAAAATTGTTTTTAAAAGGAAAGAGTAACTTAATGAAAATTAATAAATTAGCCAGGGTGTGTTACTTTTCATACTTTCAATCTCATCCTCAAAGAGCACAATGTTAAGTTCCTAAACAAAGATTAAGGAGCCAGGGCGGCATAGTAGTTACCTGTCAGACTGCTAACTACAAACTCAGCAGTTTGAAACCATCAGCTGCATCATGAGCAAAAGATGGGGCTTTCTACTCCTGTAATGAGCTACACTCTCGGAAACTCATAGAGGCAGTTCTACCTTACCCTATAGGGTCACTATGAGTCAGCATCAATTCAAAGGCAGTGTGTTATTTTAAAAAAAATCATTTTATTGGGGCTCGTATAACTCATCACAATCCATACATACATACATCATCTCAAGTACAGTTGGACATGTGTTGCCATCATCATTTTCAAAGCATTTTCTTTCCACTTGAGCCCTTGGTGTCAGCTCCTCATTTTTCCCCCTCCCTCCCTCATGAACCCTTGATAATTTACAAATTATTATTTTTTCATGTCTTGCACTGTCTTGTGTCTCCCCCACTCCCTTGTCTGTTGTCCATCCCCCTGGGAGGGGGTTATAGACAGGTCATTGTGATTGGTTCCCTCTTTCTCCCCCCACCTGTCCCTTACCCTCCTGAGGCAGGGCGTTATTTTCAGTAAAGATTTTTACAATCTCTGTGTCCGCAGTGTCAGCTGCTGCATAACCCCACAAAATAGGCCCAGTATCTGATAAAAGATAGGGAAAAATAATCTGTAACTTATAAAGGGCTCATGAGGGAAGATGGGTGGGTGAGGGAGGGGTAAGAAATGGGGAGCTGATATCATGGGCTCAAGTGGGAAGAGAATGCTCTGAAAATGATGATGGCGGCATGTGTGCAAATATGCTTGACACACTGGCTGAATGTATGGATTGTGATAAGATATATAAGAACCCCCAATAAAAGTATCTTTTTTAAAAAGCCTATAGCATAAAATATGAATTCAATGGTCAAAGGCCTAACTGGGAGATGTCTATATACCCTCTTTTTGGGTAGTTAACGTCTTATTCTCTCTTTGTTGTCTGAACAAACCTAAAGGGTGTCTGAATCTCCGTCCAGGCCTTGATTTTGCCTCTCTGCTGTGACTTTAATCTGTGTATCCGAATCCCTTCTCAAATATATATTTTTAAATGTATACCTGAATCACTTTTCAAACATAGAATATCAACCTTGAAATGTGTTTACTTATAAATTGAAGCCCTTCCTTCTCTCTGAAGCTCAAAATAACTTCTGGGAAGAGTGGTAGAGAGCGCTTGGGTTATATAAGAAAGAACTTGTGACCCTGAGGTAGAATAGCTGAGGTCTAGCTGGTAGAAACCCCCCCACCATACACACACACACCTCATTTCTCCTGGAGGTAGCGCTCGTGTAAGGACAGTAGCCCGACTTTAAACAATCCCAAGTCTGTGGTCTTCCCCCAGTAAAGCAAGGCTCTTTGTACATCGAAGCGACAGGCCACAAATAGAAATTTGGCATGCGTGCTTGCATTCCCTATCCCACCTGCCGATGGCAGACATTGGCAATCAGTAGTAACGTTTTCCCCGGCTGAGTCTACATGGAGCCTAGAAGAGTCCTTTATAATAAAGTGTGTAAACTGTTGAGTTTAGTTGATATTTTAGAACTTCTCAAACCATGCTGACTGTATCCACCAAATATATATGAATGATAATATACAAATTGTGCTTATACCCATACCTGATCATAGGAAATGACCCAGGGAGAGCTCATGTTTACAGCACCTACCTGGGCACTACTGTCATGGGAACTATCCCCAGAGCTCTGAGAGTGGAGCAGGCTTTCATTCATACAGCTCAGCTCTTCTCTAAGTTCCACAACTTCCTCAGGCTTTATGGTGAACTGCTGTTCTTCAACTTTCATAGTTTGATCCTGTTGTGAGCACTCTTCCGTCTGCCCTTCACTTGAAATAGTGACCTCCTTCACTGACTCCTCTGGAATTTCCTCCTGCTTATTTTCTCCTAATTTGGGACTTGGTACAAATATAACAATAAAAAAGAAAGTATCAAAATGCTCCCTAGAGTAACAGAGTATGAAGAGAAAAAAAAAAGCTATAGGTCAAGAAAGTACTGTTGATGGCACAACTCTTTTTAATAGAGTCAGACAATTGAATTGTATGAGGGTGTGCCCCTCCCCCCCAATGGGGAAAAGCTCCATTTGACAGAGCCTTCTTAGTATGCATTTTTCACAAAAGGTGAGCATCGAGCACCTTTCTCTGACTTAGTGCACCCAGTGGCATCGCCTGGGAAAGTTCTCTCTGGCCACAGTGAATTTTTTTGTGATGGCCAATTTAAGAGAACAGCTGTGAAATTTTGTTTCCTGTTTGGGGAAAATGCTGCAGAAACACAGCTTACAAGGACAGTGCTATGGGAAAAACTCAAGTGTACGAGTGGCTTTCTTGATTCAAAAAAGGTGAAATGTTGATTGATGACAAACCTCATTATGGACGTCCATCAACTTCCCAAACAGATGAAGATGTTGACAAAATTTGTGCACTTGTACTCGAAGACTGATGATGGACCATTGAAGAGACAGGGAAATCATGTGGACTATCTTGGAGCTTGGTTCAGCGAATTTTAATGGAAGATTTGGGAGTGAGAAAGGTCACTGTGAAATTTGTGCCTCGGGTTCTCACTGACCAGGAAAAAGAGTGTCAAGTGGAAACATGCTTGCTCTGAAGATTTGAAAGAACAGCTCCGAAATGACCCAGACATTTTTTCCAAGGTCATTACTGGTGATGAGACATGGCACTATTCTTTTTTTTTTTTTTTTTTAAACATTTTATTAGGGGCTCATACAACTGTTATCCCAATCCATACACACATCAATTGCATGGCACTATTCTTACAACCCCCAAAGCAAACATCAGTCAAGCTAGTGGAAGATGCCATTGTCACCTCACCCCCCCAAAAGCTTGTCAAGTGAAATCAAAGTCAAGAAGATCCTCTTTTTTTTTTTTTTTTAATGTGAGGGGGCTAGTGTATTTGGAATTTGTTCCACCAGCTCAGACTGTTAATCAAGCTTTCTATATAGAGTTTCTGAAAAGAACCTACCATTACATAATGGTGTGCAACTAAAAAAGGCCTGGTTTGTGGCAGATGAGGGACTGGTTTTGCCACAATGACAATGCACCTGCTCACGCAGCCATCTCAGTATGCCAGTTTTGGGCAAAAAACAGCATGCCTATCTTGCTCCATGCACCTTACCCATCTGACCTCACTACATGCAATTTCTTATTGTTTCTGTGAATGAAGAGGGACATAAATGGACAGTGATTTGACAACATAGAAGAGGTGAAGCAAAAAGTGAGGGAAGTGCTGTCAGCCATCCAAAC